TAACTGGCAGCCAGCTGCAAAGGTCTCCGAGCTGCGGTTATTCCTGGGGTTCGCCAGCTATTATCGTCGCTTTGTAGAGGGCTTTGCTGAAGTCTTGTCGCTCTGGAAACGGAAGCGGCGTCCGAACCAGGATGAGCGGAAACATTTATCTCAGCCTGTATTGGTACTGCTCCGACACTGGACCGCCTGGTTGAGCAGAATGGGGTCCTTTGTCCCCGAATCTTCCGCCCCGATGGCGCAGCGGCAACGTTCCAACTGTTGCTGCCTGCTGTCTTAGAGAACAAGGTTTGCTGCGCACCCCTTCCCGTCTCTCGAAAGAGATTGGAACGCGTGCCTGTCGCAGGTACTATACTGCTACAATACCACTCCCACTCAGTCAACGGAGAATCTCCATTTTTTCTGATGTTTGGCCAAGAACCCAGACTGCCGGTCGACTTGGTAGAGTTCAGAATCCGGTGGAGGGAAACGTCCACGAGTGGATCCAGGAACACCACACTCGGTTTCAGGTAGCCTTTGAGGGAGCCCGGGAGAGGTTGAGACTGGCAGGGCGCCGAAAGGAAAACTATGATCGGCAAAAGTGCACCTTTTGAAGAAAGGTCAGCTGGTATTTTATGTTATTTTTGACCGCAGGGGACTGCTAGTGGGATTAAGGAGGAACGCCACTGTTTTTCCTTCCGTCAATCGGGCCCACCTAAACATGGGACTACCATCGATTGACGCGGTTTTGCCATCGAGTCAGACGCCATCCTGAGTGTCACTCCGCCTCTGGTGCCGTGGATCGATGTTCCAGCCTGAGCCATTTTAACTAGCCATCTGATGGTGGACTTACCTTGGCTTTCGGACTGTCAGGAGGTGGCCATCGGAGCCGTCCCAGTATTCCTCCGTTATTTTGATTTTGTTTATTTCCCTTCTGAGAACCAGGGTGTGTTTTTGGGTAACAGGGTTCTTTGTATTGCGCTTGTAGGCGCTGTCAAGTTCCAGGTGGTGAGGGCAGGTGTCCTCTGGTGTGCGTACCCCCTTTTGGTGTGCTGTGTCTTTTGGGGCAGCCTGGGTTTGTGAACCCTCACGTGTGAGTGATACATGTGCAAACGGGGTGCCTCCTCTTTTAGTTTGGGCTCCTCACCTGTACCGGGCCCCCCTCACCACCGGTAAGCCACAACCCTACACTTGTTTAAACCAATATTTATAAGGCTCATTGTTTTAGTACTGTTGAATTAAATTGTCTTATCAACCAAAAATTTCACAACCCCCCTACAGTACCTCCACGGACCCCCTGTTGAAGACAGAAGACCACACAGACGACTACTTTTTGAAATGCACACACCCCCCTACCATCATCACCACTGATTAAGGTCATGCTTATATGGTTATTACTGTGTATCTCTGAACCAGTTTGAGGCTGGGGGCCGGCATCGGAATTGAAGCTTGTAGACCTGGGTTAGGGTGAAAACAACCCAGGGGTCCAAAGAATGAACTGCCCAGTAGCTGATCTGGTGCTGGGAGAGAAGACCGCCGGCCTCTGGAGGCTTTGGGGCGGCAACGATTGAAAGTCGGAGATTGTCTAGGGGGGTGGTGGGATTGTGCGGGTAGCGGGCTCATAGCGGGATGCCCAGGCCTGTGGCAGCTACTGGGGCGAGCTGAGGGCTGAGACTGGCCTTGGGGGGCTGAAGCGCCTGTGTATCGGCTGACCCGAACAGCTCAATGGGTTCCACTGGGACGGTACGGAGGACCCTCCTACAAGGGTGACTGCGCCAGCCAAACCAGGCACGCACCTGAAGAAGGCACTTGGCAACGGCGGCTCCGGCAGCTGCTTGTCCAACTGCAGGCGTGCCAGCACCGTGCGGATGACAAACGCCATGGAGCTATCGACTGCTCTTTCCGACGTGCTCTGCGCTGAGGAATATGAACCCGGCACAGGGGTGTGGGAGAGCCCCTTTTTGCTGTACTCAGTGAAGAGACGCAGTTAGTGAGATAGCGTCCTCCTCAGGCTCAGGTCGGTCTGCAGCTTCGGCCCCTCCTGCATTTTCAACTGGGCTAGCTCTGGGGTAAGGAGATCAACTCTAGGGGACAGCCTGCTGGCCTTAGCCCTTTTTGAGCAAGCCTCTGTGGCCCAGTGTCTAACGGGCAGGTTGAGCTGGATCCAGCTGCCCTGACGGGGGCGTCGTCTTCGCCCAAGCGTTCTACCCCGCACCGCTCGAGGCATGATGCCGCAGTTCATACATGCCTCCTCCGACAGACTCTCCCTCCCTGCTTGAGGCCAAGGCAAGAGGGCAGAGGTCATGACTGTCCTCTGGCTGAAGAGGATCCTTACAGGTCCTACAGCTGGGAGAATAAAACATGGTCGCGTTCTGGCAGCTTAAGCGGAAGCACTCTGCTGGATGTTAGCAGGACTGGCAGTGAGAGAGGCTTCTAGCCTTCTTCACCTCGACAGTTGTTGCAAAAGGCCAGAGAAATAAACCCAATCCTATAATTCTCTGAAGGAGGCAAGAGTTAACCCTCTCCTGAAGAAACCTACCCTCAACCCTTCTGAAGAAAACAACTACAGACCGTTCTTTCTTCTTCCCTTTTTGTCCAAAACCCTTGAACATGCAATCTTTAACCAACTCATCTCCTATCTCCACCATAACAACCTCCTTGACCCCCACCAGTCAGGCTTCAAGGCAGGCCATTCCACAGAGACTGCTCTCCTTGCTGTCTCAGAGCAACTCCACACTGCTAGAGCCGCCTCTCTCTCCTCTGTCCTTATCTTTCTGGATCTCTCAGCTGCATTTGACACAGTCAACCACAGATCCTAATTTCGTGTCTCAGGCTCTGCTCTCTCCCTTCTCTCGTCCTACATCGACGGCCGCACCAGGCGAGGATCTGTGTTGGAACCTTGTCATGTTACTACTGGAGTTCCTCAGGATTCCGTCTTAAGTCCCCTCCTCTTCTCGCTCTACACCAACTCTCTCGGCGTTGTTCGCTCGCATGGCTTCTCCTACCACAGCTATGCCAATGACACCCAACTAATTCTCTCATCAGGAGAATACGTCCCCTTTTCACTCAGAAGGCAGCGCAGGTTATGATTCAGGCTCCTGTCATCTCCCGGCTGGACTACTGCAATTCCCTCCTGGCAGGTGTCCCTGCTACCGCCATTCGACCTCTGCAGCTCATCCAGAAGGCAGCAGCTCGACTGGTCTTTAACCATCGAAATTCTCCCACACTACTCCACTCCTCCGCTCTCTTCACTGGCTACCGGTGGCTGCCTGCATCCAGTTCAAAACATTGGTGCTCAATTGGTACCATGCTGTGAATGGATCTGGTCCAGCTTACATCCAGGACATGGTCAAAGTCGCTTTAGATAAAAGCATCAGCTAAATGACACGTAATGTAATATAATAAAGAGGAGTGAGGACACTCTTCACAGGGGTGTCTCTGCAGATATTGGCGTCCCACCAGTCAGCCTGAGCAGAAGCACTCTGCTACTGTGAGAGGGGAGCGAGGACACTCTTTACTAGGAAATTGCTTCAGATATTAACGTCCAAAGGGAATACTGTGAGCTTGAGGGGGAGCATTCTGCTACTGTGGAGCCCAGCCGCAGTGTTTATCAAACAACTGAATAATGTGATAGCCACAACACAGATAATCAGCGTGCTACTGTTGACCTAGTCAATTAGTATCGCATCAGTCAGTCTTAGGCGAGAACACCTTGCTAACTGTAAAAGGTTTGCTCAAACAAATGTAGCCCTGTACAGTAATGGTTATGAAAATAACAGTATGATCTAACCAACGTGAAGTTAGTATCCTCAAGTTAGCTGATGGCGCTAACTGGGACGGCGCTGACGTGCCCCTTCGTCAGCTCAGTGCAGTGGCGCTCTGCCAAACGTGGAAAGAAAACGACAGCAGTTAGGGAATAATTGGAATCAACCTCACCGATTTCCCTCTTTGCACTTCAGGTGGTCCGTGATGGACCTCACGGCGAAGCGCGTCTTTCCCTCTTAAGAGGGGCAGCTTGTCGCAGCCTTTGGAGGGTGGGAGGTCCGCAACACGCAAAAGCTGAAACACGTCTCAATTTTAGAGAATTAGATCGTTTAACTACCAGAATAGCTACCTGCATAGCGAGAAGATGAAATAGGACTGGTCTCAGGATGACACATGCCGGGCGGGTCATCCGGGGTCACAGGTGACGATAAAGACAGAAGATGCCTCTGGCGGTCATTAAGGATGAAATAGAACTGAATGGCAAAAAAACACCACCCCCTCAGCTCAACGTGTTGCTTTCTCCACCTGTTTCAATGGTGAAGTCAACAAGTCACCATGACTGTGTAACTAACAGTCAAGATGGAGAATTTTTAGTTTTTCAATTCCTCACATGGGGCTGTTTATGAATAATCAGTTGATGTTGTAAATTTACTTCTAAACACATTGAATCCATTTGTTTTAAAGTCAATAGTGGTATGTACTGTATTGGTAATTGAGTTTCCAACCCCTACTTTAACTGAAACGTTGAAAATCTTCTAGATATATCAATTTCTTCATTTTTTTCCACAGTAAAATGAAGAGCTAATATTTTATGAGTGTGTGTTACATGAAGAATATAAAATAACACAACCTTTAGTGATATCACTTTGAAGGTGTTTTATCGTAATGATAGGAAACCTCTGTAATCTAACTTTTTATCTGCAGAATCTTTAGTAATATCCCTTTTCTGAAGGTGTTTGATTTTAATAATACAGGAAGAATGTGTAAAATAACAGTGTTTCACTGCAGAACATCTAGCGATATCCCTGTATTGAAGGTGTTTGATTAAATAATTCAGGAAAAATCATAAATTAATATCATTTTTTGAAGGTGTTTGATCATGATTAAAATAAGACGAATCTGTAAAATAAGTTGTTATCTGATGGCCGAATCTAAAATCCCTGACCAACCCTATTCACTTAATATTTCAGTACATTTAATTATCACACCTTTGGCCTAAAGCTTCATGTGAACATAACATAGCCTGCATAATATCATTATCGAATAGTTAGTATACTTTAATAATAACACATCTTAAATCATCACAGTTTATCACATCTTAACCATTATGTTTAACCCAAAATCAGAATGTTTGCCTGGCAGTGCTGTCGTACACCCTTTGCTCATTCACTACCTGACAGGACCTGTGATTGGCTGCACCCAGTTTGATCATTGCCAGGTTGTCCAGGCATTTACCCTCCTCAGTGGCTCCATCTGGTGACCGAACCTGGAATCCCTCGCTTTCCTAATTAGATCCTAATCTCATCAGTATCATGATACATTCAATGCTTACACCTTTTGGCCTAAAGCTTCATTAAGTAAACATAATATAGCATGCATTATATCATATCTAATATCTAATACACTCTAATCTCAACATCATATTTCATACACATATTATTTAAATCAAACAGTTGACACGTTCAACACACATGCAACATCCTTACCCAAAAAAAACTTCAATGGTGAAAAAAAATACTCAGGAAGAAGCCTCAGCAAGGACGTCAGAGCTGAGACCCTACCTCCCAGAATCAGAGTAAAAAACATGTTGTGTACAGTACTGAATGACAAAGCTATTTATTAAACTTAAGGGTTGATTACAGGAAAGCCATTAGAGGTTTGAGTGCGCATTTGGATGAATAAAGTCCAGAAAATAAATCAACGTCAAATCAGTTTTCTACATTGAAGTCTGGTGCGTCCCTATCGCTGCAAAGTTTAGCTTTTTTTTCTGAAACCCCCAATCAGGGGCGCAGTTGAGGGTTACGCGTCTTGTTCAAGGCCACTTATACACGCGTATCATATCTGGGCAGCGAAGCACTCTAGCGTTCATTAACATTAACCAACAGCAAAATATGCATTTTTGTTGTCCTAATTTTGCTCACCATTGACTGTGCTTCTTTAATGCTGTGAAGTGAACTATAGACACAAGATTCAATTAAATTCAAATAATTTTGTATCGTGTAAGGAATTCGTGTCCCGTCTGACTTGTGAAGCAGGCCCCTCTCTGGAGGTCTGTCATCAAAATAAGTCTGAATAGATAGTTTAGTTAAAGTGAACTAAATGTTTATTCTATAATAAGACGTGAAACAAAACCCAGTGCAGTCACAGTATGAACGACAAACAGACATATTCAATTGAATAGAGCCTCAACATGATTGAACCCGACAGTCTGGCCCAGCCAGGTTCAGCTAAGGAAAAATATAATAATGTTCAAACAAACCTTGACTTAAATGCCTGCATAAATGAAAAGGAAGCAAACATGTCGCATGGGTCACTCTTTTATGTTTCTAAAGTATAAAATCATGGAGAAAAAATAAATTGTATCTTATATCTACATGCTATATACTTGTTTTGCCAATGTATATATTACTATTATTCGTTATTTAATCACTTTAATCACAATTTATTTGTCTCAGGAATACAGGAGAACAAACCTGTTTAGATACTTCAACATCATCATCGACTTATTGAGTATTTTGTTTCTCTTTTTTTTCTCTGCTCCTCACCACTGTTGCTACAGATTTAAACAAATTAGTGTTAGGGTTGAGTTCAGACATTCCGTTTAACCAGGAGTCTCATCTTGCAAATTCCCCGTTCCCTCCTTACCACATGAATTCTAATTGAAATGCTTGTTGTTAGGTTTCACACAACAGATTCTAAGCCATATTTGATGGATTGGTTGTGTCTTCATAGCACTATGGTTGAGGCAACCTACAAATAACTTCAAAGTGCTTATGTTTACAATACACATTTTGTGTTTTGCAGTTTTTCGACTATTCTAAATATTTGATAAATGAACTACCAGGTTCTGAGGGTTTTCCAAACTATAACAACTGCCAGCCAAAGTAGAGAAATCACTGCACTTTAGTCACTCTAACTTTTAATAAAGTGCTATTGGTCCTCCCGCTGTAGTCCTGTACAGCCAAACGTTTGCCTGAGTCTACTCCTACCATTTCCATCGCAAAATTTTGAATACAACAGTTCTTCCCCATGTAAAAGTGTTAAGCAAAATAAAAAGGGTGCATGTGATAATCACTGAACTGCCAGCACAAATAATACACCTAAAAGTTCCCACAGACACCTGCTTTGGAGCAGTGTCAAAACTAGTGTGTGCAACTTGTGGAGTTGACCGAGAATCTCATAGTTACAAAGTCATTCTTTTCATTTTTGAAAAGTTTCCACATTTCCCCTGCTGATGAATTTGATGCATTTGCTGTAGCAGCTTACAATTCGAGTTTGGCTTAACTTGAAAGCCATTGACATGATGGCCATGCCAACAATGAGAAAGAGTGAAGTAAGCATGAAGAACTTGGGGTGACGGGGCATAATGTCGCCAAAACCAATGGTAGTGAGTGTGATGAAGCAGAAGTAGTAGGGGTCAAAGCCCTTTAAATCTTTTTCCCACAACGGCAAAATCAAACCGACAAACAATATATAGGCAAACACAATGAAGAGAATCAGTACAAAGGGTACATCAAGCATTTCCATTTCACCCCCTAACCCTGTGAAGTCCCAAATGGCAAATCCTTTGGATGGTGTTGGCAGCCGGTCTAGCTCTGGGCAGGAGAGAGTTCTGAGCAGTGGAGTCTTTCTAAGTAAATTTTCCCTGGCAAGAATCTTCTCAAATATCTCTTGGTTGTTTTGGAGTTGAATAGACCTTTGCCGTACATCTGCTTGACTATGAAGTACCTGCCGAATGTCAAGTGGCTCATGGATCACAATGTCTTGGTTGTGAAAAAAGTTACCGTCTTCCAGGTCCTGGTGGCTTGAGTGCCCAGCACTCTTCTGATCCTTCCATGGTGACCAGGTGTGGGAGCACAGGATTTTGCGCAGGGTATAAATGTGCCTGTAGGCCCTGGACATTAGCATAGCAAGGAAGTCTCCCACATCGAGGATGACCAGAAGCATGAGAGGGATGCCCACCATGGCATATAAAACACATACCACCTTACCAGTCAAGGTAACAGGATAGATCTCGCCATACCCTGCAATAACAATAGAGAAAATGGGCTATTCAGTACATTGAAACAAGTGAAGGATCTATTGATTAGCTCAAATAGGGGATGAGAACAATCATGTACACAAACACTAAAAATGGATTCCTAAAACCAGAAATCAAATTTAAGGTTATGATTAATATTACTCTGAACAAGACATTTTTAGGTGACCTTAAAGGTTACAATTAACTTTTTTATGACTTGAGAGGCGCTGGGCCACCATCATCTGAGTTGCTTCTGCATACCACAGCTACTGGAGCTACTACGATGATTGATAAATACTCCTTCCCCACCCCGTGAAGCAGCAGAGAGATAAAGTGTATGAAGTAGTGGCAGAAGCCGCCTTCTTGCTCATGGCACATGTGCAAAGCCCAGCCCCAATGGTGGATCCCAGTGTGCACAAGAACAATAGTGGACAGTGGGGTGTTGGGTTGGTTCGCATACAGAAGTGGTATTCTGTCTCAGTTTGATAACGATACAGGGACTAATAATGCATGCCATGACAGTCTGTAAAATACACACCTTGGTTTCAATCAAGAAATGTGAAATTATCTTTATGTTACCCTTTCAGAACAATGTACATCCAACGACACAAAACACAACAATGGATCTGGTGGAGCCTTGTCTTAAACCCTAATCATGCAGGCGATGAAGAGACAAGTAAAGTTCTCAGCTAAAAGGACAGAAGACAATTCACCACTAACCTCTAACAACCACTAATAAGCTTTTTGTGGTGGTGTAAAAAGCATTTTCTGAAAGTGCCCTCTCTTTAGGGATTTGTGGACTATCAATGCTGCTAATCCATTTGTTGGCTTCCTATCCCCACTTATAATGTATTTGAAAGTAGTAGACATAATAATGTATCGGCATATGGTACATACGCATCAGATTTTTCACAAAACAAGAAAATAAAGAGCATGAGAAAGAAAATGATTTAGTTAATTATATTAAACGGGAAAATACATATGGAGTAGTAATAAGTAGAAAATGTTAGCCAAGGACAATAATAATATCTTAGGAAACATTTTCAGCTAACGAGTTTAAGGTTCCAAGCTACCAAGCCTGGTTGGCTAAGACTGCACTTAAATACATACCTTGAGATAAATGATGTTGTGCAAATCTTTGAATTCAATTATCTCCACGGGCACATGAATATGTGTAGACAATTTCACAAGATTCATCTATGTGTCCATAAAATGAGTCAACACATGTTTCGTCAACTCATTTCGTCATTTTCTTATCTAAATAAAGTAAACAAAACCAACCAGCTTGCCAAACGTCAAGCATGTCTGAAGGACATAAAAAAAAACAGGAATGACCAGCAGCTTCTTGATGTTTAAACCCAGACAAAACAGGTAATTTTATTAGGCCCGGTGTAGTCGATTGTCCCGTAATTCATTTTCTCTACATGGAACTTCTCTGGTATCCCGCAGAACCTTAAAGGATCTTGGAGTTATCGATCAGGATGTGTTCCTTAACTAGTTCAAGTCATACACTTTTCTATATCACACCAATAAGTTGCCACTATCAGCTGTAGTTCATTTGGCTGTTGGTTTTGGTCTTTGTTAACTGGTCTTTAAGAACTCCCTGAAGTGGGATGAATGAGGGGGAGAATGTATGATGCATGCGGCGATCGCTACCCTCCCTATCCAAATGCTTCATTAAACCGATAAAGGTTTCTATCACTGAAAAATGGCGCCATTGGTTGGTTACTTTTCTCCCGCTTAAAACAAAGTAATTTTTCCCTGACCATTTCTACTCCTTCGTTTGATGTAACACTGGTTGTGGGGATGAAAATGAAAACATTTTCTGTGCTATTGTATTTTATTGTAACCTGTGTGTAACATGTGGTGGATTTTAAAGACGTATACTCTGAGTAGAGTTGAATTTGGTGGAACTCCCTCCTCACATACCATTGTGTTAAAAATGTTCTATAGGATGGCTCTGTGCTCAGATTTTGAGAATGGGGCTCTTCCATTCCTTTCCGCCTAATCATACAACATGTATACTGATGCAGTGAAGAGTGTTGCCCTATAGGTTGCACTTAAACACTTTTAATCTGATTTCCCGTTTTACAAGAAGACGTTTTCAGTGGTACCATCCATTAAGATGTCTGCAGTTAACACCTCCCAAGCATCAAGAGCAGTGGGCAGCAAGGGGGGGTTTAGTTTCTTGCTTAATGACACTTGGGTATGCCGACAGTAGGAAGCTGCGATTGTTATCTGACGTCTACTCCCTGCCATGCAGGTAACCCTGCCGGTTTGACACTAAGCCAACCTTGATGACATCACAAAAACACCATCAGGGTACTTTGTCCCTCAGAGCAAGAAACGGTATTACTCTCACAGACAATCGTCAGGGGACATACAGTCTATTCACACCTTCATAAATGAGCCATCAACTTGCAGTAAGACAATCCTATTGACTTACCCACTGTTGTGAATATAGTGCAGCAAAAGAACATGGCGCCAAAGAAATCCCATCTCTCAGGTCTTTGAAACCAAATGGCATCGAACCCTAACATTTTAGTCTCCACTTCCTTCACAATCTCTCCATGTGTAGAGGATGCATTTTCTGAAAAAGAAAACATTGAGCAGGTTGTTTCAGCAGTGGTCCTGCCTGACTTCCACTGCTGCTTTTATCATCATCGTAGTAGTAGTCACATTACTATAGTTGACACCATTACTACCATTATCATTGTTAATCTATATCTACTACAGGTGTTATTAGTAGAGGCCATTTAAAACAAAACATTTGGCTGACTTCTGTCATCTACACAAAAGTATTGTAAATCCTTTTACGTTGTTGATTCTGTACATATGACATCCGTCACACTATGTCCACCCTGATAAAGAGATCCTTCTCTGTTTCTGTGTCTCTGTGGTTTCTTCATCCAGTCTCCTTCTGTTTCTCCTGTTTTGCCATTTTTTTAGGGCGGGATAAAGCCCTCTGGGGCAAATTTGTGATTTTGGGCTATGGGAAAATACTTTTATTGTCTGTTCACTTGAGAGCAAATGATGCGGTGTATGCATGCTTAGGTCAAAATTCTTCATAGAATGGAAAAAAATAGAAAAAACAGCAACATATTTAATCAGCAAACATCGGAAAGCCAATTGACGTTATACTCTAGTTTTAAAAGTTTAGTTGCATAGTAATGTCAGATGTGTGGTCACTTACTGGTGAGGTTCTGGACGGTACTGATGATCTGACCAAGGAAGTCATGGTAGTCGGCCTGGAAAGAGAACGTGCTTTTTCCCTCGATGTACTCGAACATGAGTGCCCCCAGAGCTGCGTATGCAACCAGAGACAGACACAGCAGAAGGTGAGGAAAGAGCCTCCAGAAACGCCCTGCACATTTTCTGGACTGTTCTTTTACGCTGATTCCTTTCTTCTCTGCAACTGACATCATCTTTGTCTTCTTCCTCCTGCTGCGCCTGCACCGTAGTCCGTGTCCAGTCCAGTCTGTGTGGAGAGTGGCTGAGCGTCCGACAGCTTGTCTTTATGCTTCACTACTGTGCGCAGTGGAGACCACATCATCATGCTTTTGTACATCATTACATTCACTGTTTGAGCCTGAGGAGCATTTATCCTTGACCACGATAATTGTGATATGCTTTTTATGCGGTTTTGTTAATACTTAAATAATAAAGCAGCAGCTATAGACGTGACCCCCTTTACAAACATAGCAGTCAAGCAAACAAATGTAAAATATGAGGACTTGTGTGGATTTTAGTAATATAGTATTGCTGATTTTAGTTTATCAACTACAATTTAAATTAAAATAGTTTATGAACTAAAACTAAATTCAGCTGAATCCATTCGGTTTTTGCCATCCATCCAACACCTTAATGAGTAGCTTTTGGTTGAATACGCTTGATCAATTCCTGTGATGGTTGATCGGATTAAAGGGTGGAATCTAACCATAGCTACAACAATTACCGTAAATGAACCAACAACTCCCTGATTTAAACTAGGGCTGGATTAGACATTATAGACACGTTTTGATAACTCAAATGAGACCAACATACTTAAAGCAGGTAGCCTTTCAGACATTTATCTCACAAGGTACATTTGCCAAAGGCTGAGGAGCAATATGAAATAAATCATTAGGTTTTAATGATCATTGAGGAATACATTATTTTCCAGATATTTTTATCAGAAATAAAACTAGATCTTAGTACAGTAAACCTACATGCATTTACATAACAATGGCTTTTTTGGCACAGCCCTCAGACAGCAGTCCCCCATAGCAACCTGGTAGGGCATTTAACATTGGAGTCTAAGGAGATCGAGTCGCTTTTGGAGCCATTAGAAGTGGCCAACTTTGAAAGCTCTGAATTTTACTAGGCAACTAGCAACTTCCAATAATACAGAGTGACTATAAAGTTGTGTTAGTCCTCAAAAATTAAACCCTTTGAAAACACATCACAATTTAGAAACATGTTGGGTATCTATATATAACACTTTAATGTCTTAAAAACGAAAGGATGCCACATATTTTGAAGGAAATTCAGCCTACAGAGGGCTTCATTTTATAGATACCCCAAAAATCAAAGTGAAAAAATCATGTGGCATTTTGCCAAAATGGAAAATCTTGTGGGGCAATTCAATTGTATCAATTCCTTCATGCTCCAGGTACTGCTGGAGTTGAAAAATATGTGCAACTTCTTTGTTAAGAAATGGCATCACGCTCCCAGTAGTGATAATGACTCTAGCTAAAGCTAACAGTAGTGGAAAATGAGTGAAAGAGAACAAGAGGAGAAACTTGAATTGGCCTCCACATGCAAAACCAGTCCTGTTTAGGGGTCGCCTCACTGTCGCCCCTCTAGTGAACCTGTTGTAGCTGAAACTGGCAACTAACAACCCCCTATGCTACTTACCTGACCAGATCATTATCAGAGTTCAATTGCATTCAAACCATACCCTGATAAAAGCTTGTTCCTATCATGAGCAGTGTATAATATAGACTGATTGTATAGAAGTCTGTCAAGAAATTATTCTAGTTTTCTCCATTTATTCCCTCAGTAAAAATTGTAAACATGAGTTAATGGTCTCAAATATAGGGTGAACTCTTCCTCAATACAGTATGATTTTAATTTAGTAAAGTATTGTCACGGTGGCGTGGTGGTTAGCACTGTCGCCTCACAGCAAGAAGGTCCTGGGTTCGATTCTGTCCAGTGGCCTTTCTGTGTGGAGTCTGCATGTACTTCCTGTGTCTGCGTGGGTTCTCTCTGGGTTCTCCGGCTTCCTCCCACAGTCCAAAGACATGCTCTGGGGATCATGTTAACTTGACTTTAAATTGCCCGTAGATGTGTGAATGTGAGTGTGAATGGTTGTATGTGAGTGTGAGTGTGTTGGCCCTGCGATTGGCTGGCGACCAGTCCAGGGTGTACCCCGTCTCTCGCCCTGGGATAGACTCCAGCCCCCCCCCGACCCTGTGTGCAGGATAAGCGGTTTGACGATGGATGGATGGATGGATGGAAGTATTGTCCATTTAGAATCGAATGGACCATAAAGCAAGGTATGCTTTAGGGCGGGGCTACCTTGTAATCGGCAGGATGCCTCCGCTACCTGAGCCCCAACTTTGGACCATTCCTCCACATTTCAAATATATTAACTTGCAAAAATCCAAGTTGGCAACAGCCGAATTCCAAGATGATGACAATGAAATGGTTGGAGATGATGTTGCATCCTGCTTCCTGTCCACCAATAAAAGTGCAACAAGCACACATTTCTTATATCCAGCTTGATACTCAGTAAATGCAGTGAGCTCTGGGAGTGTTTTTAAATATTACATTTTTTGTTGATTGCTAGCAAATATCAATCAGGTAAGCCAGCATCTATTTCCCTGATTTTCTTGAAAACTTATTGACTCTTGTCTAGATATTGTTTGATGCTAAATCATTTTTACGAAGATCTATAACCACCCACGCCAAACTTTTCGTCAATCCATCAAATAGTTGTCAAGAAAAGTCATAGAAATAAACAATACAAAGCTCATGGTGACATTAAACCGTGGGTGAACAAAGTCATTCACTCTTTTTGATCTTTTTAAATCAACAATCGAAAAAACTGATGTAGACTATTCAGGGGATGCTGTAGTGTAAAGAATATGAACAGGGGAGAAAAAATAGGATTCTCATAACATATTTTTGATCAAAAATAGTTTATAGTAGTAGAGTCACATCTCAACATTGACAGGACCACTCAATGTCAGAGTTTAAAAGCACTTCGGACCCATTTTTCTAATGCTTCAAGACAATGACAATGACCATAGCTGGTGTATGAGAGGTGAACTTCAGTGCACGGGATGTCCAAGGAATGTTGGCGTCACTTCAGGAGGTCTCATGCTCTCTGCTATGTGTCAGTGGAATAAACATTTTGGCTGGAATATAAACACACATCAGAAAGTCAAGTTGCTATGGCCTCTACTCACAATATGAACAGCAACACCATACCAAAGCAACTAGGGATGACGCACAGAGATGGTAGCCCGGTCCCCGAACAGGACACCGCTTTTAAAGGCAAACTATCATCACTAGCATCACTGTTGACTATGTTTATATTTGAGGTAAATGTTTAAAAGGCCATGACACATGATATAGGACCATAGTAAAAGCCATGTATTGGAGGTCCAACACTGCTCTATAGTACAGTATGAACCTCTGAGCCATCACACGCCTCACACACTAAACCAATCTGCTTCTCTGACTGTTGATGCTGATTCTGAGCTGGGATGAACTACAGCATAGATGACGATTCTGTGATCTGTCTATATGTGATCTGATCAGTGTGGTTATGCTGATGACTCTTATCACATTAAGGTGGACACACTACAGGGAATGTCTTACATGAATACAATAACTCTTTGTACTGTAAAATTCAAAGATTTTAATCTCAAGATACTATTGGTGAATAGGATACATACAGTACCAGTCAAAAGTTTGGACACAAGAGTGTGTCCAAAAGTGTTGTCCTAGCAGGTCTCCGTAGATTGTAGTTCCTTATGGAGCCTGCTGACACCTGCTGCTGCCATCATCATCATTATTATTTTAAATGTTAATCATATTACTGTAATCATAAACCAACATTACCCTCTCCTAAAGTCTTTGTGCTCTCCCTCCCCACAGGCTTCTGTGGATGGTGGTTCTATCTGATGGTGGTTGCCCTTGGAGTGGTCCTGCTGTGCGCCTGGCTTACTACTCACAATTCCTTGAATAATTTCTGTCATAGGAATTGCATGTATTATATATTGTTCATTCTGTACACATGGCATCCATTGTAGTCTGTCCATCCCGGGAGTGGGATCCCTCCTCTGACGTTCTCCCTAAAGGCTGGCGCATGCGTCTGCGCCTTTACGCACCGCTGTGTCGACGCCCTTGTTTCAATTCATGGTTCTAAAAGGCTTGTGTGTGTTGCAGAGCAATTCACCTCCAGAACAACAGGTGGAGTAACGTGTTTTTGTTGAAGACGACCTAAAGAGTCACGTCTTTGTGTGTGGAAGTCGTTGGTTTGTTTACTTTATTTATAATAGACTTTATTGCCCCGCGCATCGCCACTGTTGCTTTTCATCACGCACACATTTGTCCCCCCCTCGACCGGCATTACACATACTGTGGCAACCTACAGGCGCAGCACTCTGGACATCGCCTCAAGAGAGCAGCACAAAGAACAGGGGCACCAACGAGCAAGAGGTCAGGTGACCAAAAGGGGAAACACCCCACCCCCTCTGGAGACAACGAGCGCCCCAGGTGCAGCTCATAAACCTGTCGTTGCCACTTAAGCTTACACACTTGTCCTTTCATTGTGCTTGACTCGGCGGCCCATAAATCTTAAGCTTTGTGGTAACTGAAAATGGAACTAAACTGGTTTTGTATTTGTCCACAGGACTTGTGGCCCCACCATTTATGACCACCTACAAACAACACTTGTTCGGGATAATGCATACATATATACAGAGCCTCACATGAGCCATTAAGTGGATTTTACTGCAAGCAGCCATTAGCCCTAATGGTCATTCTATCGATGACCAACTAAAACCACAAAAGGAATGCACATGTGCTGTGATACAATATTGAGAAAAGTATGAATAGTAAATGCTCGGTTTATGCTGTTCTGACATCAGGTTATGCCATTCAGAAAAAGGAACCTGCCACCTGCCACTTTTTGATCTACTGTGGTTCTCTGTAATTATTGGCCGATCGCAAAATAACTTTATCCCACCTTTGTCAATGCATTGCAATTGGGCAATTTATCCCACTTGTTTAATGTATTGGAAAGCTTAATAGAACCATGGATAACATGCAGGAATGCATGCCAAAGTCCAGAGAGATGTGCCTGATGACTGGCTAATTTACTGCTTTGCGCCTCATATCAAGTGTACAACATGCTGTACCTGATTTACCTGGCTTTGTATTTGAAATCCACCAGTGGAGCAGGACTTCTGCTGTCCAGCATGTTGTCTTTTAATGTATATTTATTCT